TATCTTACTATGTTTTACTATATGCGATAGTATTAAGAAAAAATTTTATAGGCAAGGAGATAATATAGAAACCATTGTTCATTTTCTGTTAACTGGTTCTAAATACCCTGTAATACTTTCATTCTGTTGAATGGCTTCACACTGTCTTGATATGCTTGATGCTATCATATATGAAGTTATACTCAAATAATTCAAGGAATGAGGCACTATGGTGACTATTATGTTAGATTATCTGGGAGTGAAACATAATTATGCTTAAATTGTTCCCTTCTGACCAGTGTTGTTCTATTACAATGTCCTCTTTTATCTCAATCTCCACCCTTTTTTAAAAATTAAACTATTTTTTTATTTTTTTCAATTAAGGGAAAACTAAATTTTAAAAAAGTGGGATATATTATAGTAACTATTTGTTTTCCTATTAACCTGATTTGAATGCCAATATTGCTATCCACATCTTGTTCTGTCTGAATTTACTATATTCTATTTTGTATGATAGTATCAAGTTTGAGGGTATAGGAACTTCCGGGAGAACATGGCGGACAGATAACAGCAACTACCGGAGGCTCTCTGAAAGACTCGGCTCAGAAGCCAGGAATGGTGCGGACTAAGGAGACATAAGTCGGTGGAGATATGCTCTGCTGACTCAGGAACGAACTGGGCTGAGAGAAGCCAACTTGGAATGCAGTCCTGGTGCTAAAACAGGAACAGAAAAGACTTGGTGTGGAGGCTAGAACCGCGCCATTGTAAGCCACGATTTGGGTTTCCCGTCGCGCGGCGGCTGGCTGCCTCTACAGCGGCTCGGCAAGGAGAGAGACGCGCGGAAGCTGTGAGAACGGCAATCTGCGAACGGCAGGGAGGCGTGCACTGACTTGTGGTGAGGTGAGTGAGAGAAACTGACACTCTACCATGGTTTGACTCCAGCAGAGGACTTTCTGGGCCCGAGCAGTCCTGCGGGAGCAGGGCGCGGTGGGACTCCAGCCACACATCCCCCTCTCGGGCGGGATTGGTGAAAAGCGCCTAGCCTGCGTGACGCTGCCAGCGGACCTGGTAGACTGTCCCAACCCAGATCCCAGAGCCTGACGGTGGCCGGGAGGGGAGACGCGTAGGCTGCCTGGTCCGTAACTCCCTGGTGCACAGCGGTGAGCAGGAACAACTAACTGGCGCAATTCGATCAGGCTGTGGCTGACTGGGAGAGAAGCTGGGCCTCTTATATAAGCTTGCATATATAAGGAACAGAGAAGAAGAGGCAGCATGGGAAGAGGCAGCAACAAGAAAGGCTCCTCGGCCCCCAATTCTGAGAAACAGGCAATAGCAGACACCACACCAATACACATAAGGCACCATATAGAGAGCCTCATAGACCAATTCAGGAATGAAGTTATCAATGACCTGAAGCTAGAAGTATGCAGAATAGTTAGAGAAATGCTAAGTACCACCCAAGAAAAAACAGGTGGTGGAATGGAAGAACAGAAAAAAAGGGGAGAATTGTTTGATGGAGAAAACAGAGAAAGCATAGAATACGTGAAGCAGGTTCAAAGGGACTACCAAGATACTAAGAAGTCTATAGAAGACTGGCATAACAGCTTGAAAGAAACTAAGGACAGACTATCTGAACTGGAGGGCAGACTTGTAATATGGGAGAATGAAATGAAAAACTTCTTAAAAATAACAAAGAAACAAACAGCAATAATACAAAGACAAGAAGATGATAAGAGGAGCCATAACTTAAGGATTAAGAACATAAAAGAAGAAGTAGGGACACAAACAAGTGAACTACAAAAGCTACTCACAGAAATAATCCAGGAGAATTTTCCTAATTTAGCAAAAGGTAAAGATACTCAGATGTATGAGGCATACAGGACCCCAGCTAACTACAACCCAAACAGAGCAACACCCAGGCATATAATAATAAAAATTCCAGAAATTCAATACAAGAACAGAATATTAAAAGCTGTAAGAGACAAGAAACAGACCACCTACAAGGGAACACCCATCAGAATTACAGCAGATTTCTCTGCACAAACCATCAAATCACGAAGAGCGTGGGGGGAAATAATTCAAGCATTGAAAGATAATAATCTCCAGCCAAGATTGAGATATCCTGCACAACTGTCCCTGGAAATTGATGGAAAAACAAGGTGCTTCCAGGATAAAGAGGAACTGGGGGAATTTGCAACCACCAATTCAACTCTACAGAGAGTATTGCAGGATATTCTAAAAAAAGAAAAATACAAAGAATCCAGAAATAATGGCAGAGAGGCCACAATGAATGGAGCAGAGAACAAAATGAAGAAGACAAACTGACAGCTACGGACAGAAAAAGAGCTTAACAGAAATGAGGCAGAGAAGATTGGATGATAGGAACAGCTATTTTGGAGAAAATGACATCTTAATAGGTAATACAGATTTAGTATCATCTTGTTTTGAAGTCTCATCTAGCTTTTGTCCTTCTGTCTCCAATGGTCTAAATAGGCTGTATCTTATTGGATTTTATTATGTACGATAGTATAAGCAAAAACCTTTTAAAGACAAGGAGATTATACAGAAACCATTGTTCATTTTGTTAGTTGATTCTAAATACTCTGTAATGCTGTCATTCTCTTGAATGGTTTTACATTGTTTTGATATACTTAATGCTGCAGTATACGAAGTTGTACTCAAGGATTTCAAAGAAAGAAACAATATGGTAACTACTTTTAGGTTAGGATTATCTGGTGGTGAAACACTATTCTGCTTAAATGGTTATGTTTTGATCTGCGCTGTTTCGTTGTTATGCCCTCTTTTATCTCAATCTCCACTCCATTATTTACTTTTTTATCTTTATCCTTTTAATTAAAGGAAAAAAAATAGCAGGATATATTATAGTAACCCACTTTGACTTTTCATTACCTTGATTTAAAGCCCTGTATTACTCTCACCATCTGGTTTTTAACTGATGTTCCCCTATTCTGTTTTGCTGGATAGTATCAGGTTCGAAAGTTTAGGCATCAGCTGTGAAGATAATGAGATTCATTATGACGCCCATTCTTGTTGACTTTTGTCTGCTTTTGAAGACCTACAATGTCTCCAATGTTTTGGTTTTCTCGGTTTTGTTCTTTACTGTTTTGTTCAATTGTATTATAACTAATGATATAGGCAATTCTATTAGAGATAGCGGGAGGCATTATGGTAACCATTGTTGATCACCTTGTATTATGTTTTTACATTATCTATTATGTCCACCCTTTTGACTTGACCGATTCTGTTCTGTTATGTCACATTTGGTTTTACTCTCTTCCAAAAAAGTAATAAGAACCGTGGGAGCAATGAAACCCAAAATGTGAAATAGTCATGGTACAAAAGAGAAGAAAAGAAAGTGCTCCAAACTATATAACTGCATGTATATTTAAGTGTATAAGATAGAAAATGATATCACAGAGTTTTATCGGATCAATGAACAGAACTGTTTGCAGTATCATTGATGGAATGTCCACTTTACAAGCTCTAATTTTGTGACTTGAACAATTATTTCTAAGATGACAATATGTAATCCATTAACTAGTGATTTCCTACTGTTCATTTTTTTTTCTGTAAATCTGTATAACTTGTACCCTTTCCCTGCTTTTTTTCTTTTCTCCTTAAATAAAATAAAAAAAAAAAAAAAAGAAAAAAAAAAAGTTTGAGGGTATAGGCAACCACTTTGAAGGCAATAAGATTTATTATGATGCCCATTATAGTTTGACTATTATCTTCTTTTGAAGTCTTGCAAGGTTTCCAGTGTAGGTTTTATTGGTCTTGTTCTGTACTGTTTTGATCAATTCTATTATACCTGATGATATAGCAACTCTTTTTAAAAATAGCAAGAGGCACAATGGTAACGATTTTTGATCATCTGATATTCTATTTTTGCATCATGTACTATGCCCATCCTTCTGTTCTAACTGACTCTGTTTTATTTAGTCATGTTAGGATTTATTCTCTTCTAAAATTTTAATAAGAACTGTGGGAGTAAAAAAAAACTCAAAACGTGTAATTGTTATTGTAAAAAAGAGAGGAAAAGAGGGTGGTCTAAGGGATATAACTGCATGCTTGAGTGTGTAGGATGGAAAACCATATTACTTAGCTTTTGTTGGATCACTGAACAGATGTTTCTGCAATCTCACTGTATGAATGTCCACTTTATATGCTTTAATTTTATAATTTGGACAATTGTTTCTAAGATGACAATATGTAACCTATTAACTGTGATTTCTTACTGTATTTTTTCTTGAAATTCTGTATTACTTGTACCCTTTTACTGCTTTTTTTATTTCCTTTCTTTTGTCTCTTTAATTAAAAAAATAATCAAACCTGGAATGGATATCTTTTACTTATTTATTTTTTTGGCTCTGGAGATCAAACTCATGACCTCACACTTGCCAGGCAGATGCTTAAGCCACTCAGCTAAATCCCCAGCCCACCAATGGATATCTTTTACATCTTGTCATCTTCACAGTAGTTGCCTCTTCTCTTGAACTTGATACCAGCAAGCACACCAAATGTGAATAGAATCAGTCAAGGCCAAATAACATTCAAACAAACCAGCTTAAAATAAGATCAGTCATAGTAAGACAATGTTACTAATACAGGGTTTCAGTTTTAGTTAATAGGAAATTAAGGACAATTACCATCATGGTATAACCTGCCATTTTTGGGTTATCTCTCTGTGCCCTCAATTCTAATATGAGTAGACAGACCAGAACAAAATATAATCAAACTAAACAGAGCAACAGAACTACTGTAGCTTTTAAATCCTAATACACTTTTAACAATGTCCTCTGCCTTCTTTTTTTAGGCAATTCCTCACCTTTCTCCTTCTCAGGATACTATTATTCACTGTTCAGAGTGATATTAGTCCAGTCTCTTATGTTCCATTTCAGCATACATAAAGATAAAGACAGCTACTTCAAAGACAATGAAAGACATTATGGTAGTCATTATCAACTTCCTGAAAATCAGTCTTGAAGATCAAAAAAGCCTGCATCATCCTGTAATTATTTGATTAGTTCTATAATATTCAGTATATATTCAATGTGTGTGAAGACGGGAACAACTATTTGGAAGAAAACTAGAGACAGTAAGATAGACAGTGATCATTTCCAGTGGACTTGTTTTGAAATCTGTGTTTCCTTCTGTTCTGCTCTGTTTTGCCATGTTTAATCTTACCCTTTTTAAGAAAAAAAAAGTGTGTAGGACAGATGGCATATTAATAACTTTTTGGTGGATCATTGAGGTGAACTGTTGTCAGTGTCATTATTTGAATATCACTTTGTATGCTTTAAATTTGTAACTTGAACAACTACTTCTAAGATGACAATATGATACTAATCAACTAGTGATTTCTTATGGTTTATTTTTCTGAAATTCTATATTATTACTACACTTTTTTCTCTTTAAATAAACATTACAATTCACCAAAAAATATAAAATTTAAGTTTTAAAGAAAAAATATTAAGTACATAGGCCCTATCCATACTTGAAAGTGAAAAGCCCATTTCAGTTTAGCATGTTTAATTACAAGATGCCATGTTGAAGCACAAAAACACTTTAAAAAATCTAGAGAGGTACAAGGGATTAACTGAAAATCATAAAACATATGCAATTGAGTAGAGCTCCACCTCAGATTTGTCATTTCTGGAATATTTGTGAAGAAATATTGACATCTAACTTCTGTATTGATTATTTCTTCAGGTCTCCTTGGGATTTTTAAAGTACACTTAGATCTAAACTGTCTGAACAGTGATGCTTTTTCTATGCATTTAACAAAAACATGGATTGCTATATTTCTCACATTGTTAGTCCACATAGAATCTCTGCCCAGTGAGCTCTTTCAGATATGTAACAATGATCAAGTATGCTGAGAGTATTCCCATAACACATAGGATTTATCTCTTGTGTGAGTTTTTTCATGTATTTCACTTACAATCTGGCTGATGAAAGTGTCTCCACTTGCTTACATAGCAGTGGTTCTTCTCAGTTTGAATTCTTTCATGTGTTTTGCAATGACTATATGCAGTAAAAGCTTTGCCACATTGTTATATACATAGGCTTTCTTACCAGTGTGAACTCATTGATGTATTTTAAAAAATCCATATGTGGTGAAAGCTTTCCCACATTCTTCACATACACAGGGTTTCTTAACCAAGTAAATTTTATAATGTATTGGACAATGAGCATTTCTGCTGAAACCTTTCCCACATTCCTTACATATGTTAGTTTTCTGCCCAGTGTGAAGATTTTCATGCATTATGCAATATGTATGTGTGCTGAAACCATTCTCATGATGCTTATATACACTGGTTTTATATTGAATGTAAACTTTCATGTTTCTTACAATCTGCATGTGTTTTAAAAGCTTTCCCACATTGCTTACATACATATGGTTTCTCTCCAGTGTGAATTCTTTCATGAACCTTACAATTTGCACGTTTGTTAAAAGCTTTCCCACATTGCTTACATACATAGGGTTTCTCTCCAGTATGAATTCTTTCATGAACCTTATAACTTGCACGTGAGTTAAAAGCTTTCCCACATTGCTTACATACATATGGTTTCTCTCCAGTGTGAATTCTTTCATGAACCTTATAACTTGCACGTGAGTTAAAAGCTTTCCCACATTGCTTACATACATATGGTTTCTCTCCAGTATGAATTCTTTCATGAACCTTATAACTTGCACGTGAGTTAAAAGCTTTCCCACATTGTTTACATACATATGGTTTCTCTCCAGTGTGAATTCTTTCATGTTCCTTACAACATCCAGGTCTGGTAAAAGCTTTCCCACATTGCTTACATACATAGGGTTTCTCTCCAGTGTGAATTCTTTCATGTTTCTTACAGTCTCCCCGTGTATTAAAAGCTTTCCCACATTTCTTACATACATATGGTTTCTCTCCAGTGTGAATTCTTTCATGTTCCTTACAATGTCCAAGTTGGGTGAAACCTTTTCCACATTGCTTACACACATAGGGTTTCTCTCCAGTGTGAACATTTTTATGTATTTGAAAATGAATTTTCCTGCTAAAAGCTTTCCCACATTTCTTACATATATGCGATTTCTGCCCAGTGTGAATTTTTTCATGGATTACACAATAAGTACATGTGCTGAAAGCTTTCTCACAGTGCTTACATTCATAACGTTTTTCTCCAGATTGAAGACTTTCATGTACTTGACAATACGTATGTGTTGTAAAAGCTTTCCCACACTCCTTACATATGTAGGGTCTCTCTCCTCTGTGAATTATTTCGTGTTTCTTAAAAATTCCATGTGTAGTAAAACCATTCCCGCATTGCTTGCATACATAGGGTTTCCCTCCACTGCAATATTTTTCATGGATCTGAACATTGTGTTGTGTTTCTGTTTCTTTCACATTCACATTACCTCCTGCAGTACAAAGGAAGACTTCTTTACACTGATTCCGAGATGTATGTCCATAAGATTTCCCTAGCTTGTCATTTCTGTAAAGAAAAAAAAAAATCACATATAGGATTTATAAGCATATTACTAAGTTTTTCTTGGAGAGTTGAACAAAACTGCATTCTCACTGTTTGAATCTCCACTTCATATGTTTCACTTTTGTATTTCATAACTATTTCTATGAACAGCATATGTAATCATCATCTTGCGATTTCTTACTCTTTATTTTCACTTTGAAAGCAATATTATTTCTACTTATTTTGTCTAATTTAATTTTCCTTATATTAAATTTAAAAAAAGAAAAATTTACAGTGAAATGGGTCTCCATGTAATGACTGCATTAATATCAAGTTCTGTTTTTAATGGCTGCTAAGAAATTCTGACTATGAAGCAACAGAATAGCCTTGTAAGATATGTTGAAAACAACCATTCCCAAAAGACTGGTACACATTTGGAAATCTTAAAAATTGGTACTTTGAAATGCAGAATCTTTAGCTTCACTTTGGGCATGGGTACATATGTGTATCACATGCAGATTATTCTCATATGTTTCCCTATCACAATCTCCCTTCTGTCCTTAACCTGTAGTTCCCTTTTCCATACGGTCAGTCTTACTTTTCTCTAACAACTCTGTTTAATTTCATTCCACATTTTGTATTTTGGTTTCTCATCTAAAATAAACCCTGTGACCTTTTAGGTTTTATAGCTGAGCCATTTCACTGAATTGATGGGTGAAAGACCCATCTAATTCTTACGGAAAATGACATTATATTATTTATTTTTTGACATTATATAACACATTTTTTTTTCTGGGCTGGGAATGAACACCAGGTATTAGCATAAATCTGTAGCTTTTTAAATATCTATTTTAAGAGATTTTCACTGAACATTAAGCTGTGAAGTTTGAACTTGAAATTGCCATTCTGCAAAATCTGATTTCTAGTGTGCTGGGTTTACAAGAATGCACAATCACAGAGAGTCTATTAACATTTTCCTTCTCCACAAATCCAGTGATAGATAGATATGCTTCAAAGCCTCATATGTTATAACTTGATCTGCTTTATATATGAGTAAGCATGTATCAGTATTTTATGCGGATTTTGAGATTTTATATCCAGGACAAGTCTGAGAGGATCAATTTTTAGAGACAACTGCATACTGATATTCAAAATGAGTGCACTAACATTCCACCAGTCTACTAAGAATATTAATCAGAATCACTGATTGTCTAGAGCATGGCTTATAAACACGAGCACTCAGTTTTATTTCAAATTCTATTGCAATCTTAGCAATTGTTAGATAATGAATGTGTTGTATTCACATGTAAAAATGGGTATAAAAACTGAAGGCAGAATGTCATAACTCAAAGTGTATGCCTTTCGTACACATCTATATGCAATGTCATACATTTTCATGATTTAATTCCCTCATATATACACTAGCTTATACATCTTCAGAGAATATTACTGACATTAAATTGAATAGTGCCTCATTTATTTGGTGTTCATTTTTCTGCTGACTCACTAATTACTCAGGAACATTCCTCTCCTTGTGAGTGGGAATTACTTTAAGTATCTCCAGTAAATTTTGCCTCCTTTTTCAGCTTCCTGGATATCCCCAAGTCCTCCTGAATTGTAGACATAGAAATACCAGGACTCAGTTGAGTAATACATACAAATAGATTTTTGTTTAGATTTATGATATAATATGTCCATGTCTGAGCTATTTTTAAAAATATTTTCATATTCTTTTTAACGAAACATCACTAATGAGCAACAAACAATATTCTGACAGCATGAGTGACAAAAAGATTTCATCCTTACCAATTGCAGCCATGTTCCTAAAGATTTCACCCATCACATCTCTGTAGAGGTTCTTTTGGGATGGACTCAGCAAACTCCACTCCTCATTGCTGAAGTTCACAACCACATCCTCAAAGGTCACCACCTCCTAAAGGATCATACATATATTTCTCAAAGGAAGGTTGAGACCCCAGGTTTGGGATATCTTAAATTCTCTCCTACAAATCTGAATCAAAAGCAAAGTGCGGTGGTGCATATCTATAATCCCAGCACTCAAAAGGCAGAGACAGGAAAGCATCAGTGAGGTCAGGGCAATTCTAGGCTCCATAGGGTGTTCAAATCCACCTGATATACATACAGAAAGCTTGTCTCAATAAAGCAAAACTAAACTAAACAAATAAAGCCAAACAAAACAGCTGAATGAAAACTGATTTGTTCAAATTTAAATCCATGTCTTGTCATTAATTTTCTGTCTATACACATTTTTGAAGACAGCAAATTTGATGCTAGATTGAAACTCACTTCTAATGTAACAGCCAAATAGGAGCACTGATTCTTGTGCTGAGTCATGGCAAGATTCCCTGTGCACTTTCTCTAAAGCAGAGCTCACAGTGAGAAGCCTGCAGGACCAGCAACCACAAAGCACAGAAGCAGATAAATATCTCATCAATTGACTGGGAAGCTAAGTAAGCACCTCCACTCCATGGTCAGTGGTGGTGGTTTGGCAGACTGCAGCCCTTCTAGGGGGAAAACCAACAGCAGCTCCTGAGATCCATGCCATGCTGGAATTTAGGACACTATGAAGCCAAGCAAGCACCACTTCTCCCTGGTAAGTGGTGGCAGTCTGGCAGACTGCGGCCCTTTCATGGGGAGAACCAGCAGCAACTTCTGAGATCCATGCCATGTTGGAACTTAGGACACTGGGAAGCCAAGCAAGTACCTCACCTCCCTGGTGAGCAGTGGTAGTATGGAAAACTGCAGCCCTTCCAGGGGGATAACCAGTAGTAGCTCCTAAGATCTGTGATATATTGGAACTTAGGACGCTGTGAAACCAAACAACCAGCCTGTCTCCTTAATGAGCAATAGTGAACCTACTGATGCACCACCTAGAATCAAACATCCCACTTCCCTACCCCTCTTCTCCTGTCACCTACTGATGCACCACCTAGAAACAAACATCCCACTTCCCTACCCCTCTTCTCCTGAAAAATTTCTATTTAGGGCTTCTTATTTACACCACTTAGATATGTTCATTGTAGAGAATTTCCATATTTAAACTGTCTATTAACACCCAAGCTACTAAACCAGCTCTTAATTCAGAGATGACACCTCTATTCCTTTCCATTCAGAAGGATATCACATGTATATATCCATGTAAATGCCTAAATTTTGGCATTTTTTGATGAGAATTTAACAGGTAGCCCTTTCTGGAATGGGCTAATGGGAACCAGAAATCTGAGTGCCTCCTGGGAAGTAGACCATAGCAAATAAGGGGGACTTCCTTCTACTATCTCTTTGAAGGAAAATGTTTTTATTATTGTTTCACTCTATTCTAATTAATGGTACTGCTCAATTCAATATTCTGTTTTGATAAGTTCTATAATGTTCTGTATTTCATCTCATTTTGATATATGTGATTAAAGAACAACTATTACAAAGATAACAAAATATACTGTGATACCTATTACTGTTATCCCAGTAACCTGTTGTGAAGTTGTGTACCAATTTCACTGTATGATCTTAGTTGACCTTATGCTGCCTTGTTCTATTGTATTTTACCAATTTCAAAATTAAATAAAAAATCTCATCAATCACTTTGATATACTACAGATGATGTCTCTTAAAATCTCATTTAGGCCAATGAGTACTTTGTTCTTAATATACTTAAGCAGCATTTTGAAACATGAATTTGGATTCATAGAACAAAACATAAATAACATCAAATATGGTATATAAATAATAACTCAAGTGTTAGGGAAAAACAGCTGTATTTTAAAAATATGTATATAAAATGAAACCAGGCCCAAGCTGTAAATTATACCTCACTGTCACCAAGTGATCACTTTCAAGTCAAATATAAGAAATATATCTTGGGATGCTGGTGAAGGATTTCTTCCTTGAATTTGGGGCTATCCTAAGTTACAGAGCTGTCTAAAATAGACAAACCCTGATTGAGACACCGAACAGACAAAGTGAAGCTTAAAAAGAGACTGCATAAGACACCTTTGGTTTGTTTTTAAAAAGTTATAGCCATACAATACTGAAAAATTCCAACAATATTCAACACTTTCTGAGAAACAATGTGGATCTCTTCCATACTACACAGAAAACACTTTCATAGTTGGGTATTGAGCTCAGTGGCATGAAGGACTGCCTGGAAAGCATAGGTCATGCGTTCGATCCTTGGTACAAAAAAATTGAAAATTTCACCTTCATGACACTGGGACATAATTAGAGATAATCAAATTAGATCTCAAGTATGGAATACAAAAATCATGTGTTGACAGGGATGTGGAGTACTGATTGTTGACAGCGCTGGTGTTGATCACCTCAATGAAGCAATCAGAACTTTACTTCATAATTACTCTAAGAACTACTTGACTTTCAGTGAAGACGCTCTCTGTTGTATGTCCTGCTATTTGCTGCCTGCATCCTGTCAGTCACTTCCACATCTTTTCCACACTCCTCTGATCCATCCAAACAGAAAACACCTCATGCCTAAGTATTGATATCACTGCAAAATTTCTATTTAGGGCTTCTCATTTACACCACTTAGATATGTTCATTGTAGAGAATTTCCATATTTAAACTGTCTATTAACACCCAAGCTACTAAACCAGCTCTTAATTCAGAGATGACACCTCTGTTCCTTTCCATTCAGAAGGATATCACATGTATATGTCCATGCAAATGCCTAAATTTTGGCATTTTTCGATGAGAATTTAACAGGTAGCCCTTTCTGCAATTTGTCCTTCACACATTTTTACCCTGTCCTTGATAATACTTTCATATTTGCTTCATTTTTCTCAGACTTCAAAACTCTATGGCTGTTTTCAGAAACGTAGTCTGTGAGCATACCTAAATAAGTATGTTCAGAAATTATTTTGCAATGTTCAAGAATACACAGGTGTTCACCAATTGTTTAGGAAGCCTTTCTCCACTGAGGCACACTACTACATATCTCTGAATTCTCAGGACCTTTGTCACTACCTGTCATGAGGAAGAAATAGGAGAACATACTATAAATTTAGGAGATCACTATAAATACAAAAAAGCCCAAGTTTAAGTTGAGCCATTGTGGCTATGAGGCCCTGCATTAAATACATTAATAAACTCTAGACATTCCAGATCTTCTACTCTGTGGAAAGAGGGCATAGACCTAGCTCATTACTGCTCTACAAGCTACAAAAGCATCATAGTCAGGGTCTTCCCAAGCTCCTCCCAATGCCTAAGATGGTGGACTTACCAGGCTAGCAGTGAATTTCAAAGATGATACTTGAGTCTGCTGCTGTCATAGTGAAGCCAGGGTCCTGGCAACCCCAAATTACCCTTGCCAATGGCAAGAGGCAAAAGGGATAGTGAATGTCCCATGGCCAAAGCTTGAGGACCTCAGGAGCTGAAGCTAACTAAATACCTGAGGCTACAGACACCGGAACTACTCCTAAACACTTGTAACTGGTTTTGCCCAATCCATCCTATTTCTGGGCTCCTATCCACAACCTCACTATTCCATGGATCCAGGATCTCTCAGAATCTTTGCTAATCAGGCCACAGGACATCAAAAGTATTAAATGAGATTCAGCAAACATTTTGCTACCACTGTTGTACTCAGAACAGGTAAATCATGCTGAGACACCAGAACAGACAGAAGTCACAGCCAGCAATGGCCCACCTCACTGGACAGTTCATATAGCCTGCCCCTTTATCACTGATTGACTCCTGCTCTATTGCCGTCCTTCTGAGTCAAGAATAAACAGAGAAAGGAAGCCCTCCCTGCAAGAGAGGATCTCAAATGATAGACTGTAGTGCAGAGACTTCTGGAGCTGCCATTCTTCTACAGTGGTGAACTCAGCTCGACAGAGGAGTGTTTGTATTGAAGAGCTTTACCTCAGACTTTTAATTTTTAAATCTATTTTATTTCAAGAAAAAAAGAACACATCAACTAAAATTAAATTTCAAAACGTGTCAATCAGGGGGCAACAAAGGTATATACATTGCACATTGTCATCCCCAGATCTTTCACCCAGTGCACAAGACATCTGTACTCAATTTTCCAAACAGTACTGTTACAGGGACGTGAGTTACTTAAATACTATTGGCATGAGACTTGGCCATGCAGGAGACCAGATACCTTGCAACTATGGGGAATACTGACACCTCATGCTATGGGCCAAGGCTCAAGACAAATGATAAGCAAATTCATCCATATCCTAAGGATTGATACTCTAAATAGTTCCCTAGCACTCTGAGGAAGTCAGGAGTCACCATTTAAAGAAATGTATCCTTATCCTAAAGACTGACATTCTAAATAGTTCCTATCATCCTGAGGAACTCAGGAGTCACCCTCCCAAACCCCTAAGGGAAGAGTCACAGCTGCCTAAGAATGCCTGCTTTCTATGTGACTCCCTTCCCCCTTTGTTACCAATTTAATCAACTTTACCTGAACTTATAATCTTATTGGCTACCATTACTCTGTCCCATCTTATGCCCATCTGCATTGTGAGTTCTTAGTTTTCCCCACCTTAAACTCACTTCACCACATGAGTTTACTCTATAAAGGTCCCTAGAATGGACAGTGTTTGGCAACCTGCTCAGGATACCTTCTCTCTCTCAGGCAGCTTTTTTTCTCTCAATAAGTATATTCTTCTCTTAATCTCTGTTGTTCCTAAAATTCATTCTTGGACTTTACAGGACAAAAACCTAATATCAGACATAGTAGACAGGGAGATTCATTCCAGTATATCAATATCAGTATAAACTTTTCTCTTTCTTGAAGTTAGAGAAATCCAGTAGTTTGTATCACACATTGTTGATCTCACCACGCCATGGATATTTGCATTGAAGTCTTTTATCCCTGCCTTTAAGTGCTGCTTCTTTTTCTGAAACTGAACTGATCTGTAATTTTGGTTATGGTATTGACAATGCATT